TTATTTATTTATTTATTTATTTATTTATTTATTTATTTATTTATTTATTTATTTAAAAGTATATCTTTATTGATTTCAGAGAGAGGAAAGGAGAGGGAGAGAGACATAGAAATATCAGGGTTGAGAGAGTCATTGATCTGCTGCCTCCTACGCCCCTGACTGGGGATCCAGCCTGCAACCGGGACATGTGCCTTGACCGGGAATCAAACCCTGATCGCCTGGATCCTAGGTCGAAGCTCAACCGCCTGGCCTGCTTTATTTTTCCCCATTGCACTCCTACTGCCTCACACACCAGGGGTTTCTTATCACTGATCTTGGTCACTGCCCATCTCCATCAGAACCATGGTTCCAGGAAGGCAGCTGTTTTCATCCCGGGACTTAGAACTGTCCCAACGGGTGGGAGTGCTCCCTGGAACGGGCAGGACTGGGTGACACAATCTTCTTCAGCTGGGACGATCCCCAGAGAGGGCTTGACAACTGAGGGCTGTCTCAGAGTGGCATCCACTCCCCACCCAGGCATCCATCCTAGACCCCGAAACAGTGTGTATGTATTGGAGGGTTTTAATCTACACCTGAGCTGTCCAGCTGGGGAGTGCACAATCCACAGGAGATAAGCTAACATTTGATTAAAAAGCGACATTCCAGGGACAGTGACTACTAGCACTTCAACAATCTTAGAACAACAGAAGTGACTTCATTAATTAACATGATAGATATTGGCAAATTTTCACTGGTGAAGTTAGTGGTGTTCAAGTTACAGCGATTGGATATAATTTTTCTGGAACATTTCATCCCTTGGTGAACAGAGTAAGAATCCAGGTGTTCCTGCAGCCCACACGCTTTGGAACGGTGACATAGGCTTTACTCCAAGATGGTCCAGTATCCAGCCACTGATTCAGTGCACTTTCTTTTCTTTTTTTTAAGTATATCTTTATTGATTTCAGAGAGAGGAAAGGAGAGGAGAGGGAGAGAGAGAGACAGAAACATCAACGATGAGAGTCATTGATCAAGCCCACAACCGGGCATGTGCCCTGACTGGGAATCGAACCCTGATCGCCTGGATCCCAGGTTGACGCTCAACCACTGAGCCACGCCCGGCCGGGCTCAGCGCACTTTCTGCGTCAGGTTTGATTAGAGCCTCTAATTCGGTTGGGGGAAGAGCTGAGGGGTGGTGTGTGTATAGCAGAATTTGATCTACAACTTGCTTTCATTGCAAGTTGGTAGAGAGGTTATTGGGGGGGGGGGGAGACCCAGAGCCCCACCTAATGCTAAAGACTGTTTGCTTAAAGAACCTAGAAACTATGATTGCCCAAATTGATATGAATCACTTTACATCACCCCAATGGCAGAACAAAAATCTAGCCAACTCCAGGTGAACTCACTTAAATTCAGTGATATCAGTCGCTTCAGGCTTAAAACCACCTGTTACATTGTGGGCTGTCCCTGGTCCCGCTCTTCTCTGGGTTCCGTGGAGGGTCTCACATCCATCTACTCATCAGTCTCCACCTGTTCAGAGCTGACCTCCGCTGCGGGGCAGAGACTGCCCCATGTTGGTGTCCATCAGATGCCACTCACAGCTGCATCTCTTCCCTTTTACTGTCAGGCTCCTTGGGCTTGATTGCTTTCGACTACCTGAGCAAACCTGACCTGCTTCCCACACCCCATGGCATCACAGGAACTCTCTCTAAGGCTGCCCTTGGGCCCATCTACCTGGACACCCCAGGTAGCCCTTCTTACACTGTTCCTCTAGGCATGGAGAGTGTGCTCTGGGACTTGCCCCATTCCCAGGGCAATGAGGCCAAAAATGAATAGCCAACCCCTCTACTCTTGGATCTCCAAAAGCAAAAGGGCTTCTTCCACCTTTACCCCACCCCACAATCCCTGGAGACTCCACCCTGGTGAAAGGGATGGACTCAAGTCAAGCCTTTATGTTCTCTATTACTTCCCCCCACCCCCCCACAACTAGTCCTGGGGGTGAGGAAACAGGCTCTGTGCCACTGATTTCCCTATTTTTACACTGGGTGTGAATTTTTTGAACTCAAAAGCCAAGAATTTTGATATCTAGTCTCTGGTTTCTCTGAAATTAGCCTGCATTCCCACCTCTGTTTTGTGACAGTGTTGTTCAGGAGTCCCTAAGTCAGCTTGTGGTCAGGCAGACAACACACCAGAAGACTCTGATCTGGCCCAAGCGGATTCATTAGGACGGATTAAGTCCTGCCCCCAGTCGCTATAAAAATACAAATATTGCTGGGTGTTCGATTAAGCAGAAGTGCTTTAGTGTGCATTTATTGAATCTGGGATGGGTGAGGTGGGCAGAGGCTCGAGTGAGGGAAGGGAGCAGACTTGGGAGGAGGTGTAGTTGCCTTTGTCTACTTCCCATTTCCCCCAGGACACAGGGCCCTGGCCAAAACAGCAGCTCTTGCTTTGCTTTTAAGGGCTGGGTGGGGAGCTCGAGTGGGAGATGTGGGAAGGAGCGGACATCTGTGCAAGGAGCTGGGCATTGTGTGTGTGCAGCTTTGCCCAGGCCATCCTTGGGCCTTCATGTGGGCCCTGCTCCATCACCCCCCATGGCCAGCCACCTTGTGCTCCGGGCACTCGCTGGCTCCTAGGCAGGGCCAGAAGCTGTCCAGAGCAGCCTGGCCTTGCTCTGGCCATTGGTGTGAGTATTTGGACTGGTCGGGTAGTGTATCCTTCCCTTGGGCCCGCAGCTCTCAGACTTGGCGCCTCCACTGCCCCTTCAGGCTCATTGGACGATGCCGGAGAACGTGTTGATGGGCATTAGAAGGGGCTTGGGCATGGCTTTGGTCGTTTCCATCTCCTTCTGCTGGTGTGAACTGAGCCATAGCGTCTTGGACTTCTGAGCCCCGGAACATGGCTCTGGGCAGGGAGCAACCTCGAATCTGTGAGTGGAAAGAGACCAGCTCAGAAGACCGATCTCGGGTCAAATCTGCCAGGAATTTTAGAGGTGGGGGGCTCCCCAGAGGGAAGAGCGTCAGAACAAGAAAGAGCACCCGTGGCCTACGGTGAACACTGGGAGAGGAGAGCATGCCTGCATGGGTGACTGTGGATGCCTCCCTTACCCAAACACCTCTCCAGGGGAGACCAATAGGGTCACATGGACTGGGGCACAGCTGCCACAGTAGGTGAGTGTGTGTTGAAGAGGGCAGTGCCAGTACCGGGCATTGGATCAGGAGGGCTGCAGGCTGAGGGTTCATGAAGGAATCTCAGCTACTCAGAGTTGGCAGTTCATTTACCTTTCTTCCTGGATTCAAGTCACAAGGCAGTGGCCCAAGTTCACACCCATCAGGGACACCTGCCTGGTCTCAGGATCTGCCTCTGGCAAGGCTAGAGGCAGGAGGTGGAAGGGGCTGGCTTCTGCTCAGGTTTGCCCCATGGGGCACGCAGCCCAAGAGGTGGTGGGCCCAGCCTCACCTGGTCACATCCCTGAAAGTGCGCCGATGGTCCTTGTCCAGCCACAGTGTCAGCAGCCTCTGGTCCTGGCTCTGGATCTGGACGTTTGCCGTGCGGAAGGTGTTTGTCACTGTCTGCAACAAAGAGACAGCTCATGCACCACCTTTGTGACAGTTGGCCCTGCCAATTTCTCCTACCATGATCTCTGGTGCATTTCTTCAGTCCAGCACATAGGGTCCCTGGCTCTCTTCCTGCAAGTGACTCAGAGCATTGAGTCCTGCAGAAACGGCTTCTCGGCTGCTCTCATCCCAATCTGCCATCCTAATTCTGAACACAACCTGGGATGCTGACTGGTGCTTGCCAGGCTCAAGTTACCTGAGCACCTCCTATATGACAAGCGTGCTGTGAATGGAATTTTCTAAGTCCTGACTCGGGTTCCGTGTTGGATTACATACAAAATTATTTACCTGGGACAGAGACAGAGGGTCTAGAAAGAGGCCACCTACCCTCCAGACTCAGATCAGGCCTTATCAGTTTGTACCATGGAATTGTCTTGGGGCCAAACATGGGTGGAAGGAATTCACCCTCTGCATGGGGAACCCAAGGTAAGGTGTTCCAGTCTTCTGCACCCCAAAGCCCTATGTGGCTTCTCTAGAAAGTACCCAGGGCCAAAGGAAGGCAGCCCCCAGGCATCCCTCTAACCTCCAACCTCAGGGGACACTGAGAAAGGACCTTTCCCACTGGGCAGAAAATTGGGGCAGCCTGGGTTCCAGGTGGGGCTTCAGAGGGCCTTCCAAGGTCACTGGCTCTACCCACATGTGGACAGTAGCTTTGGGTGGTTCCCCACCACAGAACATTCGAGGTGCTGGAGGCGTGATCTCAACCCTGGCCGCTCGGAAGAATCATCTTTCAAAACATAAATTTAGGGATTCCTATTTAAATGGTCTGGAGTCCAGCCTCGCATGGGCATTTACTTTTAATCCTGACCCAGAGATATGTTTTTTTAATTGATTTTTAGAGAGAGAAGAAGGGAGGGGGGGGAGAGAGAAATCATATGCACCCCAACATGGGATTGGACCTGCAACCCAGGTATGTGCCCTGACCAGGAATCGAACCCGTAACCCTTTGGTACATGAGATGACACTCCAATCAGCTGAGCCACCCAGCTGGGGCTAGGCACGGGCCCTTTAAAATAAGCTCCCTATTGTGGGCATGGTGGGAACCCTGAGCTAACCTGCCTTTTCATTGTCGCCGAGCAGAGGCACTGGCAGCAGCCTAAATGGGGGCCAAGCATGTCCTGGCGTTTCTGCTGCAGTTTTGGGGGGTGGGGTTGGCCAGACAGAAATCCATGGGCAGAGCGTGCAAGAGTCTCACAGGGGGAGGGTCAAAGCCCAGTCTACAGCCACGCCGCCCGGGTTCTCATCTGGGCTCGGTCACGTATTAGCTGTGTGACCTTGGACATGTTTCTTAATCTCTTTGTGGTTTTGTTTCTCACCTATTTAGGAAAAAATATGGTAATAATAGCAACCCCTTTGTAGGACTGTTGTAAAGATTAAAAGAGTATATATTAAGTGCCTGGGACACAGTAAGCACTGTATTCCTGTTAGCTGTTTATTATTATTAATTATAATTGTTCAAGAAGGAGCCAGGCATAAATGATGGCCTCTGGGGCGAAGGGGACTCACTGTGGGCGCCCCCACTCCTCAGCTGTCTCCTAGCCCAAGCCCCTTCTGCCATCACTCATAGACTCATGAGTCTGAACAGGCGGGCTGTGAGGAAGACAAGTAGACTTACCAAATGGGATTTGGAACTGAGGTCCTCGGACCTTCAAGGACCCGGGGGGACTACACGCTCAGTGAAAGCTTAAATTAGGAAAACGGCACGAGCAGCAGAGGGAAATCACAGGGGAGCTCGTCTGCTGTGGCGTGTGCTGTGAGTGAGGGCGAAAAGCCTCCCCTAGAAATGCTTAGCCACAGACCTGTTCTTATGTGGATTTGGGGTCCACATTTACACTGTCTGCATGGTCTGGGAATTTATGAGCCAAGAAATTAACTTGGAATATAGTCCTGGACTGATAATGTCACTGGGGTAAGTGGTAAGAGTAAATACAGAATTTCCCTAGAGGGACAAGCTTTCCAAGCAGGCTTCCCACAGTAAAACCCCAACAAATATGAACTCTCAGTTGAGGAAACATACCAGGGCTTAAGCTCCTATGGGGGTCCGTGGACCCAATAAACAGAAGGTTTACACGTTCAATAATTATAGATATTAAAATGAGTAAAGAAATATGAGAGGAAATAAAAACCATGAGAAATAAATAACATACTATTAAAGAAACAGGCATGTCATTTTCATTGATTCTAAAACAACTCCCCCATATTTTAACATCTCTAAAATTAGGAAGTATTTTGCAACCAATGGGATAAGAAAGCAGTGCTCATAATTTAGGAAGTATTGTTTCTTTCTTTAGTGGTATGTAAAATTATGGTCTGTCTTGCCCTGGCCAGGCAGCTCAGTTGGTTAGAGCATCATCCCAATAGACCAAGATTGCGGGTTTGATCCCCAAGTCAGGGCACATTCAAGAATCAACCAATGAATGCTTAATAAATGGAACAACAGATTGATGTTTCTCTCTTTCTCTCTAAAAATTAACCAATGAATAAAAAAATGTAAAAAAAAATTGTGGTAAGATTCAAAGAGAATTGAAAACATGGAGAAGAGCCCAGAGGAGATGGAAGAGAACAGGGTTGAGTGATGTCAAGGACCCGTTGAGGTGGGAGGTCGTGAGTTTGCTGTGGCCCTAATCTATATGGATGTAGGATTCATTCCAGAAGCACTCAGCCACCTGAGCATGCAGACTGAGGAGGAGGCTTGATCTAAAGTGAGTGTCTGCGTGGTAGTTGAGGGTATCTGAGAACATGGTTCAGGTGTGATCATGGAATGCAAGGCCCCGCTGAGTAGGGAAGTGAAGTCCAGACAGGCCGTCAGATCGGGAGAAGATGGGTGAGTCTGTATCAATAGGGAATCCACGTCAATAAGTCTCAATAAGGACAAAGGGCGAAGGGCAGCAGTAGCGCAGTGAGGCTGAGAGCTGGTTTGACTCGGTCAAAGGCTGGGCTACAGTGTTTAGGAGCCTGGCTGTTGTGCAGCGCAGGCTCCTGCCGGAACATGCGTGCATTTTGTAGTTCTCTCTGTATGTCTTAGGTCTTCAGATAGCCAGCAGGAGGACAAGGCCGTAACTTTTATAATGCCTTTTTTATGCCAGGGGATGCTCAATATTTCAAACCAACTGATTCGAAAGGAGATTCTTTCCCATAGGAAGACCGGTTTCCAAAGCAGAGATTCGGAAAGGCTCACAGTCCCTTCTCTGGACTCCCTTCCCCCGAGCTCCCAGCCACCTGCCCTATTTGGATATCCCCAGTTCTCACACTACCCGGTACTTACAGAGAAGGACCTTCCTGCCAAGTTGGACGACTTGACAACCTCCGTCACGTTAACACTCAGGCACGTGTGGTCTGTAAGGGGAGCAACAGTGATGGGAGGAGGAGTGGGTGGCCTTGAAACGGGAAGGACTGAGATGGAGGGGCGGCATGAATGGGCCTTCGGGGAAGTAGGAGAGTTTGAGATTCGAGGTCCTAAGAAGACCCCCCCTCCCCACATTAACCTCCTCCCACATCCTGCTTAGCCCCTTCCTGACTCCACCTTGGTTCTAGCCAAGTTTCAGTTCCTTCCTGATTATATTATCCATTTCCCTTCCCTGGTGAATCCACAGAGTTTCCACATCCTCAGGCATAGCAGCCAACCCAGTCCCCTTTCCTCACCTCCTCCTGCACCCCTTTTTTAATGGGAGAAAGTTCTGTGGAGCTTCTGGGCATGCTGAAAATGGAAGGGACACCCAGCCCAGGATGTGTGTACAACAAAGGCGCACAGAGGCGTGGGAGTGTGTGGCTCCCGACAGGTGGAGAGCGTTCCCTTGGCTTTCAGACTGGTGTACAATGTCAAAAAGCATTATTATGTGGCTGCTCCCAGGTCCTCCCTTCTCCCTGCTAAGGAGCGTTCTTAGAGGCCTATGCCTCTGAGGAGGGCCTGGCATCCGTTCTGATAGGGTTTGTGATGGAAAATTTGGAGGAAACATAAGTTAGAGTGGGAGTGGGTAGTGGGAGTCTTGCGGAGGAAGGAGAACAAATGCAATTTTAATAGTAAGTTAACATTATAATTTACTATATGCACATAAATTAGTATCTTATCTCCATTTTAGAAATGAGAAAATGGGTAGAGAGGTCTTAAGTAACTTGCCCCAGGTCACACGGTGGTAGATGGCAAAGCCGACTCTGAATCTGCCCTTCCGGTTCTAGAATCTGTGCTCTCGGCCTACTCTGTCACCTCTTGGTTAGAGCTATTGCCAAAAATCACATGGTTCCTCCATGGTGTTCAAGACCTACAAGTAAAGAATGTCTGGTGCCCTGGCTGGGTAGCTTAGTTGGTTAGAGCATTGTCTTGATACGCCAAGAATATCTGGCTGTGATAGAGTTTCATGTCACCCACAAATTCGACCTGCCTGGAAGTATTGTATCAAGAAGTGATCGAATCAGTAATTATTTCTTGAGTTTCCTCTTTGTGCCAGATGCCAAGAAAATTTAGGAACAATGATACCCATGTACAAACACAAATGCTTTCTGTGACAGGTGTCATACCTGGAATACTAGCAAAGCACAGAGGATTTTAGAGACAGAGGGGATTACTCATAGTTGGATGGGAGAGGAGGGAGGAATCCAAAACATATTCCTCATAGGCTTCCAGGCTGGCTAATGTGTATTTTCATTCTGTGTTTCTTCTGGAACATTCCAGATTCATTTATTCTTTTTATATATTTTTTGGTGTAAAGTAGCACTTCATTTATTCAGCAAATATTTATTGAGCACCTACTATGTGCCAGGACATGTGCTAGGCACTGGGGGTAGAGCAGTGAGCAACATTAATTTCTGCCTGGGTAAACTTTGTTTGCTCTGGAAAGATCTACAAGCATCTGTGGATCGCACCCTTTAAGTCTGGCCTGTTGAGATTTGGCGATCACAGAGGAAGTGTGAGGCGCACTGGCGAGGAACCCAGGCACTCGTGTGACATGTGACCTTGGGCAAGTTATTTTCTTTTCTTTAGTTTCCTCTCCAGTAAAAAGTTGCTAATACTAATAATACCTATCTCATAGGGTTAATATGCTTAAAAGAGTTTATGGTGACATAGACCATCAGCTGGCCTCTGATGGATGTGTGCAGTGGTTAGTAATCCACATCTCCAAGCTCTTCATTATTCCAGAGGCCAGGGTGCTAACAGGAATGGCTCATATTTATACCTTATGCATATAATTATATGCACATAAACTGGTATCTTTTATTATGTCAATTTTAGATAATTAGATAACTATCGTATTATCTAATATATATCTATAACTATATCCTTAGCCAGAATTAGATAATTTGGATTAGCAGTGCCTTTTGTGAGCTGTAGAGTCCCTGCCCAATGGAACAGCATTCAAAATAAACATTTCCAAACAGAACCCTGGCTCTGCAGCCCGGCGCAGAGGGGGAGGCCGCTGCAGCCCCTCGTGGGCCCACCTTCACCAGGCCTCAAGGACGCAATCCAGCGCTAGAGCGCATGTCACTCACTGTTGAGCACCTGCGGGTGGGGACTGCTCCCTCTGGCAGCCTGGGCCCAGCCCTGGCCTGCTGTGAGTAGCAGCTCAACCAGGTTCAGCGACCCAGGGATGGGGCGGGAGGCCTCCTTCCCAGGTTCACCTCCTCTCCTGTCGCTGGACCCTCCTCCTTCTCCCCCTTCCTTGTCCCTTCACTCTCTCTCTGTTCTGCTTTCCCGACTCCTCACCGTCAGTGTCACTGGCTGGAAGGGCCTTCAGGACCAGCCCGGTGGCCCTCAGGGAAATGGTAACCTCTCGGGTCCGGTGGCTGAGCAGGGCCTGGGGAGGGAGAGGCGGGCACAGATGGGGGTCCTCAGGACAACCCTGTCCCCCCACATCCTCACATCAACAGTCTCGCTTCCACCCCTGCCCCAAGAGCCTTGTCTGTGTCATTAGTGTCCAACAAGGGGACACAGGGAAAGGGCACGGAGCCTTCTTAGCTGCAGGGAGCCTGTGTGGCTTTCTAGACCCAAAGGACTCCATCTCCAGTGCATCTGGTGAGCTAGTGAGGAAGGTATTTTTGAGCAAGGAGATGGCCCCTTGTTCCTTAATCAGACCCCCTCCTTGTCTAATGTGAGGCTATTCGTAACCCTCCCATTCTAGAAAACTCTCTGAAGGCTGGGAAACTGGGGGCAGTGCCCAGAAAAGGGCAGAAGGTCCTTCTGGCTGGCTGTCCCCCTGCCCGCCACGTGTTCCTGACCTGCTTCCAAGCAGCTGTGCCTCCCGGCCACCCCGCCACTGACCTTCTGGTAGCACAGGGACAGCTCGGCCCCCGGGGCCTCGGCCGCGCCTCTCCGCCTGGGCGAGAAGCCATCTGAGGGAAGGTGAGAGGAGGCTGAGGGGGGGAGGGCCTCCCCGGACCCCAGCATCCCCACCTCGCTGAGCCTCGGGCTGCCAGTGTCCCTCAGTCTGGGTGAGACTGGAGGGAGCCAGGGTCACCTCAATATTCAGCAAAGAGGTGGGAGGACTTTCTGAAAACGGGGCTCGGGGAAGCTGAGTCAGGGTGCGCTGTGGAAAAGGGAAGCAGATGCCCACCTTTGGGGAGTTTGGAGTCTTGGATCTTCACCTTCAGCTCGGTAAGGAAAATGTCCTCTGCAGAGTCTTGGCTCAGGTCTCGGAAGAAGATCTGGAGAGATGGGGGCCGGAGGGAGGGAGGAAGGCTGGCTCTCTGCCAGAGGCGGCCCCCCTCCAGCCCCAGATCTGAGGACGCGGTGGTTGGAAGAGTGGACAGAAGGAAGCAGGGCCCCCCCGCCCCTCGGCCAGTGCTGGGTTCTGAGCGGCCCCCGGGATTACCTGGGTCTCACTCTGTCCATCTAGCCGCCCGTGTGTCACAGGAACAGCAATATAATGCATTATAAATAGTGGAGAGAGTGTTATTGAAACCCAAACGACCTGTGGCCACTACTAACGGGGACGGCAGCAGTCAGTAGGGGACACAATTCACATAAGGGAGGGTAATAAAATCTCTCGTAGACACCGGTAGGGGTGGATGACAGGGTGAGGGCCAGAAAGGAGAGCGTGACAGTCCTCGAGGTGCACAGAGAAGCCCGGGCTCCACGAGGAAGGGCTAGTGAGGGCTGATTTGCCCTCAGTGAGACCCAGAGGAAATGTGGGGGGAGGAGTGGCTCCTGAGGGAGGGACAGAGAAGAGGGGAGAGGCCAGGTGTGGTCAGCGCAAGAGGGAGGATGTCGGAGCAGCAGGGAAGAGTGGCCCAGGATTCTCGAAAGAACAGGGCTGGAGAAAGTGGCCACCAGAATCCGGGAGCTGGCCTGGCGCCCACAGCGAGGTCTTGGTTCTGTTGACCATAAACACTTTCACAGATCCCAATCTTGTTAGGCAAGGCCACTCTGTGACTGTGATGGGTCAGATCCTGCCACTATCATGTCTGAACGCAGGCAAAAATGGGCACACTGTGCAGGCCACATCCCTTACCCTCCCATTCCAGCAAACAGCGAGTGGCTGCTGTTTCTTAGAGTGAAAGGATAGCAGTGAAAACTACTGAGATGCCCACCGTAGAATCATTCCTGCTTCCTGACAGCATTCGGTCCAGAGCAAAGTCCTGCTTTTTGGAGCCCCCTCCAGACTCACCACCCAACAGGAGGCCAAATCCTGTAAGTTCTAACAGTCTCCCTGAGATGCCTCGTGGTTCTCCACGGTGTGTGGTCCCCTCACTGCAGCAAGTCAGGAACCCAACTCTGTTCAGTTACAGGTGTGCTCCTGGGGGCCTTTGGCTGCAGGGTAGTGACAGCTACCTAATCTTTAATTTTAAGTCTCTTGCATTGCTGAAAAGTTTACTCCCTTTACCAGGGACCTTAGAGAAGGTTTCCCCCCCCATTTGTCAATTTTGTGTTGTTTTGGTTTGCATTTTGAAAATCAAGGCAAAGACATAAATCTTTCATATAGGTCGAAATCAGGAAGGCAATAAAGAAAAGATCTATCACAGGAAGCAGAATGAAAATAAGAATTCAGTAAGGTAGGGAGCTAGAGGCAGAGGTGGTCATTAGAAATTAGTCTGCAGAAGCTCACAGAAACCCAGAGATTAAGAAGATAAAATCAACAGCCAAGAGCCTCTGGGTGAGTTTATGACTTTCCCCCTGGTAACCTGTGTTCCCTCAAAGCCAGGGGATTTAGGTGTGGGGTCCTGGGGTCCAGCAGGCTGCCATGGTATCCCTGGAGCCCCAGGTGGAAAGCTTACCTTGACTGTGTAGATCTGGAAATAGATGGGTTGGGTGCCCATGCGGACATAGTAAGTGATGACATCCAGGATGAAGGGGTCTACAGTCTGGGACGTGTCCAGGGAGGGAGGCTGTGAGGGGAACAGAGAATGTTTTCAGCTTCCTCCTTCCATGCTACTATGGAAGGTGCCACTTTCTTAATAGAGAAACTCCAAAGCCTCCACATATCCTCTGCGATGCACTAACCCAGCTGGTCTTTCAGCACAGTCCAAGCCTTTCCTACTATCCAATTTCCACTCAAGTCAAAATACACCTGCCCAAAGCCCCATCTCCCCTGGGTCTCTGCTCCATCTTAATTGCACAAAGACCTATTGAGCACCTCTATGTGTAAAGCACTGAGCCCAGTGCTTGGGGTAGACAAGATGCTTGAGAATATAACTAATGATGAGAGAGTCGGGACTGGGTTCTAGGTTTGGATCAGCTACTCAACCTTGGGCATGGGAGATTGAACCAGATGATCTGATGTCTCTTTCAGTTCTTGTGGTATCTGAATTTATTAATAAACTAATGAATTTTTACATGTTATTGAGAAAGGACTAGCGCCATGCCCTGTAGGCCTTCCCCAAACCCATATAATTCTAAAGCATAATGATAGGGTATTTTTAGGTAAACAGAGTAGAATGTCTACATAGAATCAGATAGTATCAGAGTTGGAAAGAAGCTCAGAGTTTACCTAATCCGTCTTGTATATGATCCTGTAATATCTCCTCTGATTCTCACATCTGGTCTACTGAAATACTGTTCCCTTCAAAAAGATCATGCTGAAGAACTATGAACTTATCTTAATGATGCTGCATTGCTCACACTGTTTCCAGTCTCTTCCTGTGGAAACTGCTTTTGGAGTAAGTGTAAGGTCATACAAATTGTTAGTTATAAGGGGGAGGAGAACAGGGAAAAACCAAAATCTTATATGTGTCCTGGCCGGGGAAAAAGCTACCAATAGGCATATAAATGAGACCGACATCACATGCTCCTCCTGTAATATCCTCCAAGTTTCAAGGAAAAGGTATTTTAATACCCAGCTGAACAGTTCTTCCTGTGTATGCAGACATTTTCAGATAAGCAGTAATTCAGAAAAAAATGCCTCCCCCGCAACATCATTATTCAAATAAAAGATATAAGAAGGCACCCCAATCAATCAGGCAATAAGCAAAATAGAGAGCTCAGTAAAGTGGCAAGTTTGAAAATAAATATGTAAAAACCAGTAGGTCCCTTTTATACTAGCAGTAACTACAGTCCAAAATCAATGGGAGAAAGATCCCATCCACACCTGCAAGAAAAAAACTATTAAACTTGAGGATAAATTAAGCAAGAAATGGGTAAAATCTATATGCTGAGAACTGCACAACTATCTTGAGGGGTAAATGAAGAGTTATACCTGAGTCCCAGAGAGGGCAATTAATATGCTAAAGATGCTAATTCTCCTCCAAATTCCAATAAAAGTCCCAAGGGAAATGAAAATAAAATGAAGCCCTGGCCAGTGTGGCTCCGATGGTTGGGCCTCGCCCGAGGCACCAAGAGATTACTGGTTCAGTTCCTGGTCAGGGCACATGCCCGGGTTGTGGGCTCGATCCCCAGGAGGGGGCGTGCAAGAGGCAGCTGATCAATGTTTTGCTCTCCATTGTTTCTCTCTGTGCCTCTCTCTTCCTCTCTCTCTCTAAAAAAAATCAAAAAAAATATTTTTAAAAAATGAAAACAAAATTCTAAAATTTATCTGGAAACAAACATAAATANCAATGTTTCTCTCTGTGCCTCTCTCTTCCTCTCTCTCTCTAAAAAAAATCAAAAAAAATATTTTTAAAAAATNACTTCGATGTTTCTCTCTGTGCCTCTCTCTTCCTCTCTCTCTCTAAAAAAAATCAAAAAAAATATTTTTAAAAAATGAAAACAAAATTCTAAAATTTATCTGGAAACAAACATAAATAAGCACATTCTGAAAAGTTTTGAAAAAGAAGACTAATGGGGTATGCTTCCACTGACAGCTATTAAAATACAAAGTGCTAATTTATACTGAACTGAATAGGTTGATGAGAAAGAAGAGCTACCAGAAATAAATCCAAGCATATGTTAGAGTTTAGTAAATGATAAAAATGGCATTTCAGATTGATGGGGCCAGGTGGTTTAGGCAGTAAATAACAGGAGAAGTGGCTAAACATTGGGAAAAATACATACTTCACNTTAGGAGAAGTGGCTAAACATTGGGAAAAATACGTACTTCACACGAACACTGAAATTAATTGCGTCTAGGTTATTTAAATGTAANGTGGCTAAACATTGGGAAAAATACATACTTCACACGAACACTGAAATTAATTGCGTCTAGGTTATTTAAATGTAAAAGTTGAGATATTAAAAGCATTAGAGTAAATTATCCGTTAATATTTATTTAATTTTGGCTATAATTTAATCAGTAGAGAAGTCCTTTCAAAGCATGAAAGTGTTGTGTATGTTTATATAAAAATATTAAACTTTTGAAGATCAAAAACACTATTGGCATAATTGGTAGGCAAATAACAATTGGAATAAAATGTCTGCAACACACATGATCGCAAAAAGGATACGGTTCTCTTACTACATCAAGGCCTTTTCATATCAGTAAAAGTCTAGCTTCCTTCCCACTGCTCGAGGGGGCTGGGTGTGTCGCTATGGTTTAAGAGAACATGCTCTGGCCCTAGCCGGTTTAGCTCAGTGGTTGGAGCATGTCTGGCTCAGTGGTTACAGCGTCAGCCCTTGGACTGANGGAGGGGGCTGGGGGTGTCACTATGGTTTAAGAGAACATGCTCTGGCCCTAGCCGGTTTAGCTCAGTGGTTGGAGCATGTCTGGCTCAGTGGTTACAGCGTCAGCCCTCGGACTGAAGGGTCCCGGGTTCGATTTCGGCCAAGGGCACGTACCTCGATTGCAGGCTGGATCCCCAGCCCTGATGCTTGCGGTTGGGGCTCACGTGGGAGGCAACCAACTGATGTGTCTCTTTCACATCGATGCTTCTTCCTCTCTCTACCCCCCCCTTCCACTCTCTCTGAAAAGCAATGGAAACAATATCCTCAGGTGAGGATTNCTCACATCGATGCTTCTTCCTCTCTCTACCCCCCCCCTTCCACTCTCTCTGAAAAGCAATGGAAAAAATATCCTCAGGTGAGGATTTAAAAAAGAGAGAGAACATGCTCTGGAATGAAGCTGCCTGATTCCAACGACTCTACCGCTCATTTTGTTACTTTGGGCAAGGTACCTAATCTCTTCGTGCCTCAGCTGCTTGATCTGTAAAATGGGGATGTGGAGACAACGGCACCTGCCAACAGGAGCATCTACTGGGTAGGGATGCCGAGTGTAAGTGTGCAGAACAGTGCCTGGCACGTGGGCGTGCTCTGGGAGCATTAGCTATTTTAATCACAGACAAAGCATCACAGGAAACTCACAAGAGCAGGAATATAATTGGCCTACATAGTTATCAAAGGAAAGGATGTTCTGCTTCATTGTTTCCATAATGGTTTTGTCCAAAGTACAGTCATCCCTCAGTACCCGCGGGGATTGGTTCCAGGGCCCCATGGATACCAGCATCTTCAGATGCTCACACATCCCTCACATCCGGTGCCTGGTATTTGCATGTAACCTACTCACAACCTCCCATATACTTTAAACCATCTCTAGGTTACTTACAGTAGCTAAAACAATGGAAATGCTATGTAACTAGTAGTCACACTGTATCATTTAGGGAATGATGACCAGAAAAAAAAAAAAGTCAACATGTTCTGTACAGACGTAAACTATAGGCTTAAAGACACAGCGCACGTCGGCAACCATGAAACTTGTTCTCCTGAATATTTTCCGTCGCGTTGGTCGAACCTGCAGCGGCGGATGGGTGGGTAGGGAGGATGGCAGTGCCCGGTGAGTAAATTCCAGCTACTCGCTGGCTGGGCTTCTCCGCTGTGCTGCTCCCCTGCCTCCTCCAGCCCTGGGCCCCCTGGACTGACTCTTGAGGTCAAGGGTCAAGAGTACTGTGGAAACGGCCCCCTCCCGCCTCCCTC